GCTAATTAAGTGGTCTAATTTTAGAGAGCCTAAATAGTCTCCTAACTGGGTATGGGCTAAATGGGTGGATACCCAATATTGACCCAATTATGTTTAATATGAGCCTAATGGAACAGTTTATAAAGAAACTTAGGTTATGATCCCCAATACGTCAAATCATTCGGTCATTTTCTCTCTTCCCCATCTAGAGAGATAACACCCATTCAAGAATCTGGTGATTTGACTGAGGAATACAATAACTCGGCGTACTCGTAGTCTTAGAGATTTCTGTTGAAGATTAAGGCTGCACAAGTATTTATTTTAATCTACTTTCTTAGTAATTTGGTGTGATGATTCCTGAAATGTGTTATAAGGATTAAAGTTCAACAAACTCTTCATCTAATTTTCATAATTTTGTTTTTTACTTATTAGTGTTCTTCGCTTCTTATATATATATATATAGCCAAGTAAAGCTGTAAACCAACATTTTTTCTAGACTATGGAAAGAAACATGGAAATCAACACAAGAAATGAAGGACGTCTTTCCTCCACGTAAAAATTATTATGTCCACATGAATAACATATGCATATATATAACAAATACCTAACAAATACCTTGCGTGAGAACTTCCATGATATAGGTTAGGAATTATTATTGTTTGATTTATTTCCTCCACGATATTGCATTATTGATAGACACGTCGCTCCCCTCACACACACACACACACAAAGCCTCGCGAGCATATTGAAGAGGTCCACTGTTGGTTTAACTAATTAATCAGTAAGCTTCATAATTGGCACAAACTCAACATGACAGCACGATAATAGTTCTTTTTTATATATGCATTGCCACTAAACAAAAATAGTCATCGTCACTAAATACATTTAGTCATATCTGTATATATAGAAATAAAATTGTCATTACAACCTTCAGTTTCCCAACCAGATATTACCCTTCCCGTTATAATTAAATTGATACGACAAAAGGGGGCTTAAGTGCATGAATGTTCAAAATCAAATAAGGATTGAGATTTTATCATCTCAAATTCATGACTTTCTTTCTCAAGTATTGCATGGATCCTGCAGTCCTACAATGAAAAGATATTAATTAATTAGAAATCCCAGTTCTTTGTCAATTCTCCTTCAAAATGAGTTTTATGCCTTTCAATGTCGTTTGACCCAGCTCAAGTGCTCAACCTGCCATCTCTTGACATATAAGCAGCATTTTTATAATAATGGATAGATATATTCTGATTTCTGATTGCCTCCTATATAATATGTTTATATAAAATAAAAAGTATTATTTAACATATAGCCAAAAAAGAATACCAAATGAAGTGTTTTGAATTAGCATTTTTATCGAAAATTGAGTGAGTACTAATTTAAAATTCAGAACATAAAGTGAGTTGTTGTGCGTGATTGAAACCGTTTTTTAAAACGGTTTTTACGTATTTCGAGAAACAAAAAATGAAAATAAAACGACGTTTGTTTAACAAATATTTTGAAAACGAAATGAAAATGAAAACGATGAGAATGATTTTTGTGAAAGAATTAGAAAACAGTTGAAAGTTGTTTTCACTTTTCTATTTTCACTTTTTAGTACTTATCAATAATATTATAATATATTAATTAATAAACACGATTTTACTTTTTTATTATACTAAAAACAATCTCTTGAAAAATCAATCAAACGCAATTTCAGAATTGATCCCGTAGTGATTCTCAAAACAATCTCATTTTTACTTTTTATTAAAAATAAAATCATTTTAAAACTAATTTCAAACACACCCTTTAAAGTTCAGGAACTAAAGTGGAATAACCCTAAACTTTGAGAACACTAGTTTGATTAATCCAAAACAAAAACGAAAAGATATCATTAGTTGGCATTATTTATGAAATTTCTATACATCTAATTATAATTAATTTGGTCAACCATTTTTTGTTGGAAAAAAATACCATCGTTAATTAGACCTTGATCTATTTCCACTATCTAACTTCCAATATAAAAGTTCTTCCGTTTATTATCTCAACTAATTTGATTTTTGCAATTTATGTATAGTTCAAGAACAGTAAAAGTACTGTGGTGAGTCCCACATTGACGGAGAGTGAAATACTCTTGTGGTGTTTACATGTCCAGAAGTTCTTTTCCCTCAGATTTACCTGAATAAGGTCATCTGATGTTCAAAAGAGGGGGAAAAGGAGAAGAAAATCTAACAAATAAATTTATCCTCATCTCTCGTGTTTTTGTCCTTTTTTTTTTCTTTTACCCTTAAATAGTAAGGGGAAAAGAGCTAGCTCAAAAGATGGAGAATATAATTGGAACTGAAAGAAATGCGGGGCAACATTGTAAATGGAAATCCTTGGGCTCTTATAAAACAGTAAGGTATATATACAGGAAAATTCTCCAATGACGCATAAAAAATATGTCTATATGAGTATTAAAGTCGTATATATTTTTTTAATTGCGGAATTATCAGATTTTCATAGCATCTCAACAAACAAGCTTAACACCATTAGATAGGCATACTCTTCTTAATTTGTTTTTAATCACGATCAAAAACATCAGTACTATTACTCTCAATGTATACATGAAAACCTTTCGAATAATACTAAGGATGTCAACTCAAATTTTAAGTTTTGTGTATCAATTGATGTGACAGGTAAGCTATCACTTTTTTTAATGGTAGATGTAATTTCTTATTATTAATTGACGTGATAATATTTTAAACACTCACAAATATAATAATAACAACTCACATACTATATTAATTAGTACACAAAAATTGAGATTTGAGTTTGTCTCCTCAATATTATTCAAACCTCTAACTATAAACCAAATTTTGCGGCCACAGATACATTATATATATATATATATAAACACATATGTATGTATGTCCGTATGTATACACTCACACATGTTAAAATATATGGGAAAACCAGCAGTGGTAATTGTGGCATGTGTTTGTCATATGGACCCAATGAAAGCTTTGAAAGTGGCATAAATGTGGGACTACTGGTTCTTTTTTATCTCTTTAATGGGAGCCTCAGCCTCACTGTAGCCACAACGTGGCCCGACCTCAACCGATTATTTGTGGACCCCAAATATCCAATATCTATTTAAATATGGCAACAAAATCTTCTCAATTTTATTTCCCTCTCTGGTTGGTCGTTTAGTCTCTCTGTCTTGTGTTATAGTGGAGACCTCTAATTGTTGCAATAAATTCTTGTTCCTACTCTCTTATATCCAATGTCAAACTGAACACGAAAAAGAAATGATTGAAACTCGTTTCCTATGTTCTTTTATTTATAGCTTCATGATGCTAGTATTGTAACATCAGGTTTATTATAAATACGGGAAATTAGTATTGCAAATAAGAAAAAATAGCGACTACACATTGGAATTGAATTGTTAACATTTGAACAAGTAATCTAATGAAATTTGAAAATTAGCGACTAAGTTTGAAATTATGTTAAACAATAGCTGGAGATGGTGATAGATAACCACACACACAAATTATAAATTAAAGATTGGCAATTAATTCAGTTAGCTGTCAATTTATGAGTATTTGTTATGAGTATTCATATATAATCAATAAATCAGTATCTTCCTTGCACATACGTGATACGTCACACATTCATCCTGCACATTTGGAATTTCCAACTCCATGCAATTCCCGGAAATTTCTTCACCAAACAACAAAATAAAATAAATTTAAAACTGAAAAATTAATAATAATTCTTATTGGTATAGGCTGGGCTAGCTGGTTATATCAAGCTTTCCAATATACACACAAAGAGACAAAATAGTCGTAGTTAATAATGAGCAAAAAGTGTGTAACTTCCCAATTGTTGGGTTATCCATATCGTGTAAGAAACTACGTACATGATGAATATTCTTTGTTATTTATTTAATTTTCAAAGACAAGAATCTTATAATTATTTGAAACAGATTATATATGTTGTTGCCTTCACAACACTGAAATTTATATTGACATTCTGGCATAAGTACAAGTGTACGACAATATTATTAGACGTTAGGAATCATTTTGAAGAAGCATGTGACAACTGATGAATGGTGATGATCCATCATATTCATGATGCAGCTTAAAAACCTTCTGCAGTCTCATTATGTATACGTACCGACTACCAATATTTGGTCATTACATTAATTTGAAAATAACTTCATTTTTTTGGTGGTGCATTGGTGTAGGTCTTAATTATTAAGTTAGATCATAAAGAATAATGTATAGGTCTCGTTAGAAATTTTGCCAAATTAAATTTCTAGAGATTAACTGGTTGTCACATTCAAAAATATCCTCTTTTTTTTTTACTATTAACCTGTCTACTTTAATACTGAGAAGTTTAGAAAATAATATAATAAAAAAAAAAAGAGACCGTAAATGGGATTAATAAACTAACTCCTTTTGAAGTATAAGGCTTTCGGGATGTAGATGACGATATCTATACAAATCGATCGAACAATGGTAGACGAAGCAGAAGTGAGTTATTCCTGATAATTAGCTGATTATCTTCTAGTTCAAAAACTATTGATAGATACTGAAAATAAGTTTGGGTATTTCTGCGATGAATGTGTGTTATCTGTCACTGATTACGGTCACAGTCGTTTCTCAATCTCTCTCTATTTTTTACCTTATTTCTGTACGCTAGAAAAAATACATATATATATATATGTGTGTGTGTGTGTGTACATATATATGGAATAAAATATTTTTTAAAAAGTATATATGGAGTAAAATATTGCTTCCCATTCTTCTAGTTAATTTATTTTTTATTCTTTCTGATATGAAGTTTTGTATAGGTTGTTAATTAATTACGGATTCTAGCTTTTTGCAGATGTATGTGTGTGTGTATATGCAATCTATACATGTATTGTATATAGAGGAGAAGACATTAATTTTGACACGTTAATTGATCATATAAAAAACAAGAAATTTTTTTTTGAGCGATAATAAATTACAAGAATTTAAGGTTGAAGCGAAAGGCAAACACAATATTTAATATATAAAAAAATATACGTAATTAAACATTTTCCACTACACTTGTGTGTATCAGTACTGTAGAATTTAAGGCCGAAAACGAAAGGCAAACACAAAACATCTAATATAACGTATTTATGAATAAAATGTAAACATTTCCATTACACTTAAGGCCCGCATGTAAGAAACATAATTAAACCACGTCACTACCAATTTGGTGGCAAGCAAAAGATGTAATCAACTACGTAGATAAGTTGACTCAGATGAAGCCATTGACATATTTCTTAAGAAGTGTAGGAACAAGGAATTTGTATGCTGCATCTGAGGGATGGTAACTATCCCAAAAGATGTGGCCAGCCGGATTTTCGCACGGCGGCGACAACGGATTACACAGTATTGCCACCTCTATTGCTCCTGTTCCACAGCATCCTTTGTCCACGTAATCGAACCCTAAAATCACAGTATCATTTCGCATACAATTAACTATATCACAATCAAGAAAAACCCTACATATCATTGTATTTTAATTTATCATATAAAGAAATTACTGTTTTTTTTTTTTTTTTTTTGTATCATTTACCTACCATATTTTTTATGGTTGACAATGAGGTCAAGAAGAGGGTTGTAAATGTCTATGTAGACTAGCCTGCCGTTTGGGAGTTGAGGCTTGAGAGAATCCAGCGTGGCAGAGAGTTTAGAGTTGAACAAGAGTGCTGCTTCATTGTATTCTTCTGCACAATCTCTAAGTAGTCCACCGCCCAATGTTCTTTGTGACGGCACACAACCAATTGGTGGTGTACTAAATAGTCCAATCCTTCTAGCCCCAAGTCCATACAGTTGCTGATCAACATTAATTTAGGAAAAACAAATAAACGAAACATATCTTAAGCATGTCAATTCCGGTTATATACTATATAATAGTAAAAGTAGGATTTCTGTTCAATTTTTAGTACATGTCTCAAACGATGCCTAATCAATCAGATAACGTTATTTTATGGACTCAGACGAGCAAATGTGTAAACGTTAATTAAAAGACATTTCAAATTTACCAATTAACACACCACAATTAGACAAGGAATGAGGAATATGAGTCGGTTAGAATAATATCGCTTAACAATTTTTTTTTTTTTTTTTCTACAAGTGTTAACTAGAGCAATAATTTGCAATTACGGTAATGGAAACTTATAATCAATAATACCTTAACGAAATCAGAAGCTGAGTTGAGCATGAGGTCTGTGTAAGCAGGAACATCATATTGCAACTTTCTTAAGCGGACGGTGAAATAGGTATTGGCAATGTCGTCGCTGCCTGCTACAACAAGAAATATTGAATTCTCCAAAATGAACTTTGTCCTTCTTTTTCCAACATTTGCTTTGAGCTTTCCTAGGTATTCCTCGAACAATCGTAGCTGATCCGAGAACGATAGGACTGACTGATTTTTGCATTAATACACTAATTAATTAGTTAATAGTTAACTAAATAATATGATAGAAATTGGTACAGAATCAAGTAATCCTTATTTTGGGAAAAATTATATAAAAATGCATGGTTTATAAGGAGAGATGGTGTGTATAAATTATATAATAAATATATATATATATATATATACCACTATTTGTGGTGTCATGGGATCAAATCCTGAGCCACCTGAAGCAAAGCATACCCCCGTGGCCAAATCTTTAGGATTTAGATTCGGATCCAAATACGCCGGCAAGTACTCTTTAATCCCCAATTCTTCCACTAAAGATTAAAGACAAAAATTGGATTAGCAACTTAATGGTGCCGTTTGGTAGCATTTATGAACCAATATTTAATGAAATTATGAACGCATGAGCAACCTAGCTATCAGCCCCACTTGTCTGCGTAACTAAAAAAACTATTGAAAGGATTTAAGATTATGATTTGGTCGTTAGATGTAATCATATAAGATTCTAGATTTACAAAATAGGGTATAAGAAAAATAATAAGGAATATTAAGTAATAAACAATTAACTAATTAAGCCAAGGCCTTGGATTTTAATTGGTTAAATATTTATCTCAACGAAAAACGTTTTATAACAAATCAAAAAGGGAAAAATCAGTAAGCTAATTGGCAATACGTACGTATTGACTTGTAGAAAGAAACATATGGTGTGTTTGGTTGGAGGGTTGTCATGGGTTTGAACCCAAAAATCAATCCAAACCTTGTCTGGTTGAGTAGCTGTTCGGCAGCCCCATTCTTGAGTTAAAAACTCAAAAAAAACAACTCGAGTTACAACTTTATTCGAGTTCATGTTTTTTTAAGTTTGAACTCGAGTTTGGGACTAAAACTCGAGTTTAAGTTTTCCTTTCAACTCGAGTTTAAGTTTTCCTTTCAACTCGAGTTCATAAACTCGAACTCAAATTAATAAACAGTATTTTTTCTATTCTTAAAAATGCTATAACTTTTTCGTTTTAATTCTGATTGACATGATTTTTTTCTATGCGTTGACAACGAAAAGACGAATAAAACTCCACCCATATCCCCGATTAAAATTTTCCATCAGCATTGAGTTTTTATTAAAATACTATGTAAATACAAATTCAAGTTTTGACTCACTCAAACACAAACTCAAAAAGATTCTTATCTCAAGCCATAACTCAAATGTACACAACCAAACACAAACTCAAGTTACAACTTCAACTCAAGTTATAACTCAAACTCAACTCAAAATCTACACTCAAGTCACCTAACTCAAAAACAGCAAAAGAACAGCCCCTAAATTTTTGAACTTCAAGTTGGGTTATGGGTTGATTTCAGCCCAAAATTGGGGTTGTTCTTTTGCATTTTTGAGTTAGGGTCTTGAGTGATGATCTTGAATTCAGTTTGAGTTATAAATTGAGTTGAAGTTGTAACTTGAGTTTGTGTTTAGATGTGCACATTTGAGTTATGATTTAAATTGAGAATCTTTTTGAGTTTGTGTTTGGGTGAATCAAAACTTAAATTTGTATTTAGATAGTATTTTAATAAAAACTCAATGGTGATAAAAAATTTTAATAGGGTATATGGATGGGATTTTATTCGTCTTTTCGTTGTGAATGCATACAAAAAAAAATCATCTCAATCTGAATTAAAATGAAAAAGTTATGGCATTTTTAATAATAGAAAAAATAATATTTATTAACTTGAGTTCGAGTTTATGAACTCGAGTTTAAGGGAAAACTTGAACTCGAATTTAGCCCCAAACTCGAGTTTAAACTCGAATTCAAACTCGAGTTCAAACTCAAATTTTACAAAAGAACATAAACTTGAATAAAGTTGTAACTCGAGTTCAAACTTTTTCTGAGTTTTGTTGTAAAAGAACAACCCCAAATGTTCTATAAAATTTACTTTCCCCAAAGTTCTTGGGGTTCTAACCCAAAATATTGTTCATTCCACCCAAATTTTTTAAAAACCCATAATTTAATAATGTATTTAAATATTGGCTCAAACTTTATTCATGTTTAAATCTTACACTATTAAACGCCAGTACGAATTACAAAAAAACTCACAAATAAGTTCAAATTGAAAGAGTAAAACCCACACAATTCTTACCCTTGAAGAAAAAGGGGCCAATGTAAAATATCAATGGTGATTCTCAAAAAATTACCAAGACTTAAACCAAATGGCGTGATTATCAATGTAATAAGAGTAATCTTCACAAATACTCCTTGAAAGTGTAGGAATCAGAATTGTTACTATTTATTCTTAATTAATAACATTTTTAATCAAATAATTATACTAACAAAATAGTATTTAATAAGAATAAAGGGTAAATATCTAAATTCATGCACTCTTCAGAGTAAATTATCTATTTTTTTCATGAATGAGTAATAAAATTATGACTAAAAAGTATCTGATTTCTGTAAACCGTGATTCATTTAATTTCACAGGCACATCTGTAAGGTATATAATGTACAGAGATTCAACCTTTTTTTTCAAAGAATTTAGATTGGCTTGATAAAACAACGGTAGAAGCTGACAGCCCGTACTCTGCTATTACCACACCATTCGTGGCACCTTTTTCACTGATGGACCACACTTATATTGTTTTCTTTTTTGTTCCTTTTTTTGTTTGGTTAGAGTTAGACGACAGTAGTCTCTCTCTTTTTTTCAAGCGAGGACAATAATAGCTAGTTATTGAACTTGAATCGAGCTCTGATATTCTAAATTAGCCTTGCTCGGCTAACTGTGTTACTTTTACAGATGGCAGAATAAATGAAGGAAAAAATTTTCATCGGTGTTGTTTACAGTTTACGTACAGATTACTTTTTCATTTTCATTGTATGGTTTATATTTTATAAGAATAATTTTAGTAAGAAAAACTACATAATATTACTATAATGTGTTTTTTTAAATAAAACAACAGAAGAAAACTTATAAAATTTATAGATAGATCAACTGCAAGGGTCATCAAAGAGTGTAATATTGTGGCTCATAAGTGGTCCCACTGAGTGAACCTATCTATGCAATTGCTAATATGAAGGAAATTTGTGGGCACTTAAATACCACAAATATTGTACTTATAGTCTATCTGCCTAAGATTTTTGTGTTTTTTGCTTCTAATAAGCGGTGATCATCATTACTAGTGTACATTGTTTCAACAAGTTAAAAATAGTGATTGAAAGTTTCATGAATTTTGTACAGTAACAAGTACTTGCAGGAGAAATAAAATTAAGGGGTGCATGAATTTGTGATGATCACCAGCTAGTAGAAGTACCTTGCCGTACATATGTTGTAGAAATAGAGAAATCGCTTCAGGAAACATGACTCTAAACCTTCATATAGCTTAGATATGCTTTTGCCTGATTTTCACAGTAAGCTGGAAAAACTATAAAATGATAATGATGAAATAAATTATAACCTAAATCCAAACACACGGGTCCCTGTTTCAAACGCGAAAGCGATGCATTTTATTTTACTTTATTTTTGTTATTTGTGGCCACAATATAAGTACTAATAAAACCACCTATATGGAAAGCCAACGTGAGGATCGCAACTGCAAGCTAGCTAGCTACGGTTGTTAAGTTAAAGAGAAAAGAGATCAGTAAAGTTCATCATATCAAGGTATGGATGTATTAAGGTTAGAAAGAAAAGAGTACTAGATAAGTTTATAATGATATCCTTATATATATATATATATATAGTATATTAGTACCTATTAAATCCGAAGGAACTTTCCCGTTGCCGAACCTGCCGGTAGGTTTTCGTCCCGCAAAATCCTGGCCATAAGGAGGGAAATCGCACTTGACGACAGTCTTGAGATTGTTGTTGTTGCCTGTGTCCATTATGGAATCTCCGAAGACAATAAGTGCTGGGACCGTCACGTTTGGCGGCAGCTTTAGCACTGCCTTTGACGGATGAAATAAGCAAATTAGAACCAAAATAGCAAGACCATGAAATATACAAGATGAGGAAAAAGGGGACATCATCATGACTTTCTTCATGAAGATCCGATCTGCTTATTAATTTGGTTTCTAAAGTCTTCTCCTTTTCTTTCTATTTTCCCAACTTTTGGACTCTTTCTTTCTAGGGGAGAAAAGGGTTTGGCTGGCTTGTCCGTCTCGTGCACTTGCTCCCTAGGTTGATATATATGCTAATACATTGGGAAAGCTTGACTTTTTTATTGCCTTTTTTTTCATTTGCTTATCATTATTAATGCACACGTACTGAGATAAGATGATCCAAGCTGTAAAAATGTATATAGTTTACAGAAGTACATATATATGTGTGTATCATCTACGCCTATAATATATTTTGTGTTCCCAAATATATGTGATATATGGTTTAATATTATTTAAAATCCGTTTGGTCAAGGTAAAAATAATAATAATAATAATAATAATAATAATAATACATTTACATTTATATATTCTGTTCATCTGTTGCTGTCCTTTTAATTCTAAAAGGAGTATGAATATATACTTAAAATTATACATGATGTATATATAACGATAGGTCATAATAAGTTTCATTGTTGTAGCAGTTTTTGGTGGATTCAGTCGGAAACTGTTAATATAATTACCAGAGAAAGACACCGGAAGAAAGAATATTGCGTAAAGTATATGTATTTTTGTCTCTTTTCCAATATTAACATCTTGTTGTACCGCACCCGCGTAACGCACCCACATGGGCTGCTTATTCAATACTAATCAATATTACTACCGTAGTACTATTCTATATATATATATATATATATATATAAACTACGGAGGGCCAAAAAAAACAGCAAAGTAATTAAAGGGCACTTAATATATGGTTAATTTATCAAAAATTTATAGTGTCACGCAATATTTTAAAATGGTCAGGCATATTACCATCAAATATAGAAATTTGATGACGTGTGTGATAAAAATTTAAGTTCTTTAATTGTCATAAATTTTTTTAATCAACTTTTCAATTTATTATAATTATCATATCAATATTTTACGATTAAAATAACGATACATATGGATAGATAAATAATATAGTAACTATTAAAACCACACTCATATATATATATATGACTCTAATAGTAGGATAAAGTTTTAAACTGCTGAATATTTATCACGTTTTGTTGAATTTTAATTTTTTTGACCTTAATGATGATGATGGTATCTAATAGAGACACATGTTACATATTTTTCCGTATCCCAGCAAATAATTCTTAAAAAGAGAGAGAGATGAGATCTTCATGGTAGGTTATGAAAAAATACCTTACCCGTCAGGTTTTGTTTTGATGTAAATTGTGCAATTTTGTCCTTGAAATTACTTTTTACACTCAAACTCCTTGTATATTGCTTAAATTATATATGCAGAGGTATCCCATTATTGATCAAGATATTCTCCGTCAATACATCTTGATTTTTCAGAAAATAGGCATCCCCTCTTCTAGCCAACAAAATTAGGGTGAGAGGGAGTTAACGGCCCGTTTGGTTCGTTAATTTGAGTTTTTAATTCAAGTTGAGATGTGATGTTGTGTGATAACTTTTTACTGTAGTAAAAAAGTTAGATGTGACTGTTTCTGAAAGCTTTTTACTGTAGCAAAACTTGAATTCTAAACTCGAATCAGTGAAATAAACGATATCGTATATAAACTCTTTTGATCAAAAGTTGTCTATATTTAGGTTAGCTTTTCCTTTTTATTTTAATGTAATTTTGATGAAATATAAGTCTCATTCATTTCACTTAATTTAAATTTAAAATTTAAATTTTACTACAATAGATAATTTTTAAAAATATTCATATCTAACTTTTTAATTATATTAAAAAAAATTTATATAAAATTATATTTTAACTCAAATTAAAAATACATATTAACAAACTAAATGGACTCTAACCTTTCAAATCATTAATGTAGAAAAACAAATTAGATATGTTTCCCCGTATCGTAATCATGGGAATGATATGTTAGCTTTGCTGTACTTGTCATAAATTTACGTTGGCTGACAAGACAATTTAGTTCTAGTTATATTAACTATTTCATTTTACCCTTTAACTTTTCACGTAATCAGTTGTCTCGCTCATCCGTACCCAAAGAATTATGATTTGTGCAGAAGACGTTGTACGCTTGGTCTTCACCTCCTCCTTTAGATCAAGCCAATGTATATAGACCGCGTTTAAATCAATAATTTTAATTTTAATTTTAAATTTTAAAATAAATTTATTCACAAAAACTTTTTTATTTAAATTTTTTTGATAAAAAAATATTATAACAAAATCAGAATTATTAATTTAAATTCCTTAACCAAATCGGCTCTAGATTCTATTCAGTAGGGCTGTAAGAAACCACCCTGAACCCGACGAACCCGACTAAGTCGAGCTAACCCTACCCAAAAATCACGGGTTTTTAATTTTTTATTTAATTTTCAGTTTTAATTATACCTAACCCGCACTGCGCGGGTAGGGGCATGGGGTGGGGTTACATGAACTCGAGGTAACCCTACCCGGCCGAACATGTTTAAAGTAGGTAAAACAATATCCAACACTTCAAATTCTTACTTTCATAAGTTTATGGACTTTATACTTTTAAACTATTAACTTATTTATGTTTTGGATTCACGGTTTGTGTAAAAAATGCTTGTATGTCATAGTTGTTGAATTAGGACATTCTTTATTTATATTAGAAGTGTTTGATTTCAAAGTGAGTGTTTTAATTGTTCAACTTGCATTTAGACCCCCTATTGAAGGAAAGACATGTTCTGTTTGATAATGATTTCTTCTGTAACAAGCACAGATTAATTGACTAAAAAGTGATCATGTGGTCCTTGAGATCACTCTTGCTTTATGCATATTGTGATATGAGTTATTAGTCTTTATATTTATTATGCCGCAATTTTGTTGCGTAATTATTTACTACAATAGTATTTGCATATATCATTTATTACTCATTTACTACAATAGTATTTTATCATTTATTTGCATATATATAAGAGCCTCTTAGATTAAAATTGATGAAGTCATAGATTAAAATTAATTTTCACCAACCCGAGTAACCCGACCCTACCCGAGGTCACCCGAAAGGTTGCGGGTTTGAAGACTTAAGAGAGTGTCACGGCCCAAAATTTTCTCAACCCACACTAGTCGGGTAGGCTCAATTTTTTGGCTCAACCCTACCCTACCCGGCCGATTTACACCCCTACTATTCAGTATTCATGCACTAGCTGGTGGACTACCTCCTTGAAATCCCAAATTCTTCCCTCATGAGCTCATTAATGCAAAGCATGGTTTATCTCTCTGTGAATTAAAATCCCGTCTATTTTATCAATTTGAGTTTAGAATTCGAGTTTTATTACAGTAAAAAGTTTTTAAAAACAGTCACATTTAACTTTTTTACTACAGTAAAAAGCTCTCACATAAAATTATATCTCAACTCGAATTAAAAACTCGAATAAGCAAACTAAACGAGCTTTAAATCATTTATAAATTGGATTTGAGTTGTGATAAGCACATTTAAGACTTCTTAATTTCGGTAAACAACCAAACTCCATCTACACAACCTTATTTTTCTCTGAGTTGCGTTGAACAAATTGTAGCAGCGGTTATTGTCAAATACAGATGAATTTGGATTCTTATGCTTGCACACATTAGATATGGGGGAAAACAAATGATTTCCTCTACCTGCTCTCGGTCTGCCCATTCTTATTTTCACATGAATGTTTTCCACTTGGTACCACAGTTTTTGGCTTTTTTTGTGTTTATAAAATAACAAATTAGTACAATAATATTCCTTTCCCATGATTTTGTAAAAATGGTGAAAGTGTATGTTAAAACACCATAGGAAAATTTCTAGATGACCACGTTGTTTTGCCTTATTGGTGGAATTTGATCTAGTTTTTCAATTAAATTTTAACATTCTAATTTATAAGTGATCAAAAACACTAATTTTAACATGGACACTTATAAATCTAACCGTAAAAATTTATTCAAATAGTAAAAACGTGTTCTAGCTACTGGTCGGAAAAACCTAGCTATGTGAATACGGTAGAGTGATATTAGTCCTTATTACAACTAATAAGATGTGTGGATCTTACTTGTGAAGTTTGGCTTGACGGCATTTAAAATATTAAAACATTAAAAAAAAAGGGGCCTAATTTTTCTTTCATGAAGATTATATTAAATGAGGCACGTACCTCCAATTCTTATGAATTTTTAGTTAAAAAACTAACAGCTCGTAGGCATGATCTAAATCTAAAGGTGGCATCCGTTTACGTATGTTTATATCTATACATGGCTGATAGCTCGTAGCCCCTATATGGAATAATTGGTTTTTTTTTTTCCTGCTCATGCTAGCCCTAGCTATTCTAAATATATACGTACCTACGAGAACTTTATACATTGTCATGCATGTGGATTACAGTATGTAATGAGATGAAAGTACTCGCGTTATTTAATATTTGTCTTGTGTTTTCGTTCTTCTTCATTTTTTTTTTTTTTTGATAAAAAAAAAGTTTGTTGGATTGACTAATTAACACCACCAAAAAGGGAAGCACCCGAGCTCGCTATGATAAATTTTCTTTGATTTTCCGGTGAAAGTCAGCAGTACTTCTGATCTCTCTTTATCAAATGAGAAGAGGTGGTAATATTTCAAGAGGAAAAGTAGAGACTAGAATAATTACATGTATGTACAATTACGCATATTATACATACATATATACATAAAGAAATGTTGAAAAGAAAATATCCAGTAAATCCGATCTTAATTGTTAACAATTAGCTGTCATATGACAACTGCACATTTAAGGATATAATATTGTCCTGCATTTTGTTGACAAAATATATCGCTTAGGATGTTTAGATTAAAAAAAATAATAATAATATAATATATTAAGACATAGAAGAGCGCCCATAATACTTGTCGTAATAGTTGACAATTGCTTTTTTAGTAAGAAACTATAATCTATTTGGAATAGTTCTACCTAAATTAGAATTTTATAGTACTTAACTGTTTATATGTTACTTTGTTTACTTTCTTACTAAATTAATTGATCAGGAAATTGAAACTTAAGAGCTAAACTCTATGATTTGGCCGTGTGTATATAAGATTATGACACTTGACAGTAC